TCACCACAGCTAGAAAGAGCATACTAAAATTAGTAAAATTACAAAATTTGGTGGCGAAATGTTGTAAAATGTGGAAAATATAGCCTTGCAAAATTTGCAAATTTTGTATACTTTTGTATTGCGTGCGACATTTTCGGCCTAAATGTGGTAGGAATGTGGTAGGAATTTTTGCACGCAATACAAAAGTATACAAAATTTGCGAACTCTGCAAGGCTATACTTTCCTCATTTTATAACATTTTGCAACCACACTTTGTAATTTTACTAATTTTAGTATGCTCTTTCTAGCTGTGGTGATTTATTTGAGTTTCCTTACCTAATTTTAAAATTAGTCCATAATGGGAATTGTCTATTGTCAGAGCGCTCGCTTTTCACCTCTAACATCTAGGGTTCAAATCCAGTTGGGGACGACTTATATGATAGCCATGTGAAGAGTCGGTCAACGTTCTGCCGAAAGTCGTGGGTTTCGTCCGTGTACTCCGGGTTCCTCCCACAGGAAATGTTGACAGGGTTGGTTTGGATTTTCCCTAACAAGTAACCCTCGTAGCTGCGCTCCGACAAATTCATGTAAATATATTAACGTGATGCAAGCGTACGGTACTCAATCTAACGTCCAAAAAGGAGCACACTAGCTCTACCTGATATATTTTGCATCCAAGCTTGTAAATCCAAAGGTACTGACGGTTCTTCTTTCTTTTGAAAGTCTTGAACAAAAAGAGTAAGATTATTAGTATGACAAAAATACTTACAAAATGTAAAGGAACGTTACTACAAGAGGAAACCTAAACTAAACTAACTTTATTGATACTGTATAACTCTATCAGTTCTAAACTGTTCTTCCTAAAGGTTTAAGGATCATCTCTTATTGATCCAGTGTTACTACAGGGGGAAACATAAACTAAACTATTAACTAACTTTATTTATACTGGATAGCTCTATCAGTTCTAAACTGTTCTTCCTAAAGGTTTAAGGATCATCTCTTATTGATTCAGTGTTACTACAGGGGGAAACATAAACTAAACTATTAACTAACTTTATTTATACTGGATAGCTCTATCAGTTCTAAACTGTTCTTCCTAGAGGTCCAGTAAGAATAATCTCTTATTGATCCAGTGTTACTACAGGAGGAAACCTAAACTAAACTAACTTTATTTATACTACAGTAGATAGCTCTATCAGTTCTAAACTGTTCTTCCTGGAGGTTCAGTAAGGGTCATCTCTTATTGATCCAGTGTTATTACAGGAGGAAACCTGAACTAAACTAACTTTATTTTTCCTGAATAACTCTATATCAGTTCTAAACTGCTTTCCCTAGATGTCCAGTAAGGATTACAGTATCTCTAGTTGATCCAGTGTTACTACAGGTAAAGTCAAATTGAAAGCATTTTTCTAACAATCGACTGAGGTTGAATCGAACCTCAGTTTTTGATAGTGAAGGTGTCTCGTGAAAGCCAACTTACCTATGGGAGGAATAAGCCACAAATTTTGATCAGAATTTTCAGATGTATTGATATGATCCGAAAGCAACTGATGAACACTTCTTGAGGAACTATTGACGATCGACGAACTGCCAAACTAAAAATATGAGAAAATATGAAGATATTGCCTGCATGTTAAGAAATTGATGACAACAAGCTCGCAGCAACTTGTTACGAACAGCCTGTATTAGTCTTGTTGGAACAACTTGTAGCAAGTCTGTTACCGTCATCGACCTTGTAACAAGATGATAACAACTTGTTCCAGACTTGTCACAATAACTGGGAACAAGCAGTGCGAACACATCCTGATATCGAGTTCACAACAACCTTGTTACAAGTTGTTTGCAGATCTGTAAAATTTGCGCGTGTGTATATCATTGAACTATAAATAAACTGGAAGGCTAACTCAGGGGGGGGGGGAATTGAAGCCAGTGCATTTTAGTTTTTCTGAGTTATGAGCAGAAATACTCAACACTGAACGTTGGGCTACATATCAAATTGAAGCTATTGAAAAACACTATTTGGTGTAGAAATTTCAAGACTTTAGCTAAAAGGGAAATATTGAAAAACTACAAACATAATTACCGAGAATTTGCCGTTTTGCAGTTGTTTTCGTATTTTTTAAATATTTTTCTTTTCGCTGAAGTCTTGAAATTTCCACACCGAATAGCAATTTTCAGTAGCTTCAATTTGATATATAGCCCGACGTTTGGGGTCAAGTATTTCTGCTCATAACTCAGAAAAACTATTTTGGCTTCATCAAATCATAGGCCTTCATCATAGCAGTTAGCCTTCCAGTTTATTTATAGTTCAATAGTGTATACTCGACCTTCAGTAGCAAGCTAGCTGTAGCTATCACCCATGCTTCCCTTTAAGGTTCAAGAAAAGGAAAATTTTAAACTTACTCGATAATACAAGCCAGGAAAATTTGACAAATAACTTTCTGTGATGTGTATAAACTGGGCTAGAGTCGCCCAAGCCATGTGTAATGCTTGCTTGTTGCCATTGGTAACTGTACAGCGAGCACAGAACTGATATATTCGAGGCTTCGATACCAGCAAAATATCAACATCACCAAGTCTCACAATGAGCCCATTTTGCCAATGAGCGATGGTGGTTTTCGAAGGGTTAAAGTTTTTAGAAGCAGCAAGGATATACAGTGTTAGGTCGTCGCAAAAACCTTCTTGAAATTGGTAATGCCAATCCACAGTGACTGTTGAGCTTGGGGCTGCGTTTGGCCATATTCCAGCCTACAGAAGAAAATATAGGATGAATGTTGGATGTTGGTACATATATGCACGTGCTCATGAGCATATATACCAAAACTCTATGTCCACCGGGCCCTACTGTATCTGTTTGTTTGTTTGCCTGTCTGTTTGTTTGCCGTCTATTTGTCAGATCGCCGTTTTCAAAAGCCAGAACTCCTTTTTCAAATGCCAAACGTCTGTTTTCAAATGCAAGAACACCCTTTTTAAATGCCAAAACTCGTTTTCCAAATGCCAGAAGTACCTTTTCAAAAGCCACAACTCCGTTTTCAAAAGCCACAACTCCGTTTCCGAAAGCCTGAACTCTGTTTTCGGCTTGGTATATAAAAATGTTCGACCAATTGGGTTTGAGCAAATTAGTTGGCACTCAATTTTGACAATACGAAACATAACTCAAAAAACTTTCTTCGGTGTCCGGTCCCCCGTCGCAATTTGCAAGCTTCAAGCGAAGCGGGCAAGTTTGGATCCTTACTGGATCTCTAGTGAGAACAAAGTTTGATTTTTGGCTACGCTTACTGGACCTCTGGGAAGAACAGTTTAGACGTGATAGAGCTATACTTACGGGAGGCTCTGGAGGTAACTTCATCAGCAATGGCAAATGATATCGTTTGGTGACAGCAAGGTTTTTAAAATAAGACAAAGCCAGTTCAATCTCATAACCAGCTTTTGGCGCGCCTTCCAATATGACTCCAAGTTTTAACATCGCGGGAAGCAGTTGTTTAATGTCTTCTTCGTTCATGTTCCAAATCTGGAAAATGAGAAAGAGAGAACTTGCTTTAGCAGGAACAAAGACCCAGTGACCTAGACTTGTTACCAGTTGTTCCAACAACTTGTTATCGTCCAGCAATTCAACAATTTGTCAACAAGTTGTGAGTGGCAATCTTGTAGCAACCTGATGAAATAACAGCATTGTTACAACTTGTTGACAAGCTTGCTACAAGCCTGTTGCGAACACATCTTGTTGACAAGTTGTGAGATTTTTACGTGTATACCTAACACTATGCGCCAGTCTTCTGATCTACACGCGTAAAAACGTACAAGTGGTTACAGGTCTGCAAACAAGTTGTTACAAATCTGTTCATAAGCTGTCGACAAGTTGTGTTCGAACTGCTTGTTCCCAGTTGTTGTAACAAGTTTGAAACAAGCTGTTAACAACTTGCAACAAGCTTGATGGCATTATCAGACTTATTACGAGGTTGTTCTAACAAGTCTGATACAATGATGATATAACAGGAATGTTACAAGGATGATGACACAAGGTTGTAACAATATTGTTATATCATGACTGTATCGAACTTGTTGGAACAAGCTTGCTACAAGTCTGATAATATCAACAAGATTGACACAAGTTGTTAACAGCTTTTTCCAAACTTGTTGACAACTTGGGACAAGCAGTGCGAACACAACTTGTTGACAGACTTGCTACAAGATACTAGCATCGTACCTGCCAGCAGAGAGGCAGAAATGACTCCCTAATCATCCCTCTGCTTACAACATCATCAATAGCCGATCGTAACGTCCAGTCATTAGGTCTGGTTGATGTCGGCCAGAACCTCTGAACTAATGTGGATTTCTGTAGTTTATTCACGAAATCCTGAGGGTTCTCATCTCTGTGGATCATTGCGCATGCGTTGGCAAAACAACATGGATCCGTGATGATGATTGTGTTGTTGGGCTCTTCAAATGACTCCGCTATGTTCACGCGTGATAGTAGACCCTGGAAGATATATGTATGTTCAGTTAGATAAAACAGCAAAGGATTTACTGGGAGTGCAGGGCCTCGTTTAGGTTTCCCCAACTAAGAAATTATCCTTACTGGACCTTTTAGAACTGATAGAGCTATCCAGTATATAAATAAAGTTAGTTTAGTTTAGGTTTCCTCCTGTAGTAACAATGGATCAATAAGAGATTATCCTTACTGGACCTCTATATAAGAAGAACAGTTTTGAACTGATAGAGCTATCCAGTTTGAATAAAGTTAGTTTAGTTTAGGTTTCCTCCTGTAGTAACACTGGATCAATAAGAAATGATCCTTACTGGACCTCTAGGGAGAACAGTTTTAGAACTGATAGAGCTACCCAGTATAAATAAAGTTAGTTTAGTTTAGGTTTCCTCCTGTAGTAACACTGGATCAATAAGGGATGATCCTTACTGGACCTCTAGGAAGAACAGTTTAGAACTGATAGAGCTATCCAGTATAAATAAAGTTAGTTTATTTAGTTCAGGTTTCCTCCTGTAGTAACACTGGATCAATAAGAGATTATCCTTACTGGACCTCTAAGAAGAACAGTTTTGAACTGATAGAGCTATCCAGTTTGAATAAAGTTAGTTTAGTTTAGGTTTCCTCCTGTAGTAACACTGGATCAATAAGAAATGATCCTTACTGGACCTCTAGGGAGAACAGTTTTAGAACTGATAGAGCTACCCAGTATAAATAAAGTTAGTTTAGTTTAGGTTTCCTCCTGTAGTAACACTGGATCAATAAGAGATGATCCTTACTGGACCTCTAGGAAGAACAGTTTAGAACTGATAGAGCTATCCAGTATAAATATAGTTAGTTTAGTTTAGGTTTCTTCCTGTAGTAATACTGGATTAATAAGAGATGATCCTTACTGAACCTCTAGGGAGAACAGTTTAGAACTGATAGAGCTATCCAGTATAATAATAAAACACAAAACAATAGACACTCCAAAAATTGTAAACATTTTAATTCTTTACGTTTCGACTATAATTTAAGTCATCTTCAGAAGAATGCCACGTATTTCGAAAATATGTTTTTCGAAATACGTGGCATTCTTCTGAAGATGACTTAAATTATAGTCGAAACGTAAAGAATTAAAATGTTTGCAATTTTTGGAGTGTCTACTGTCTATTGTTTTGTGTTTTATTAAAATACTCTATGGCAACCGCAAATTTTATCCAGTATAAATATAGTTAGTTTAGTTTAGGTTTCGTCCTGTAGTAACACTGGATCAATAAGACATGATCCTTACTGGACCGCTAGGAAGAACAGTTTAGAACTGATAGAGCTATCCCGGACAGTACTACATGTACCATTATAATACCTTTTCGACGAAGGCTTGGGTCGTTGACTCCAATTCTTCGTCGTCATGGAAACCAAGTGCCGACGCCATTGTCTTAAAATCTTGACCAGACATTACTATTCCCTTCCCATCATGCAACGGTCGTAACTTCTTAATTAAACCCAATTCTTGTTCATTGAAATTATGAATGTTTGAAGATTTACCAGCGTCAAAGAAATGTTCTAGTATGGCACGTCGGAGATCCGAAAGTCCCTAGAGGAAACCAGAGCCTAGCGTATTACATTGTTGTCAATTCAGTATCATAAATACTCAAAAACTCTGTTGCTCGACAAATTATTGGGCTTGCAAAATCACTATTACAAGTATAGGGTCATATAAATTCAAACACAACACGAATTATTAATGGCAGTTATGTTAAAGAGTTAATAAAATTTTAATTTTAGTGTCATTTACCTTGCCTGTAACCGCGCTCGTGAGATACACGGTAGAACAAACATTTGGTCTCTTCTTAATCATTCTTTCTAACTTTTCAATGCGATTTTTCACCCAGATATTGGACTGGAGCTCTCTGTGAGAAAACCAGAACAGAAATATCTTGGAAAAGTTATTTAGAAAAGTTTTCCAAAGTAGAAGATATTGACCGTTCTTCATTAAACATTACAATATTGAAATGTCGATTGTCGAAGTGTTTTTATCTTCTCCACGTAATTCCGACACAAAACACGGTAATTTATTATACAATACTACCTACACTGGACCATCACGTTTGAGATATCCATTTTCAGGTAGTTCAAACACAAACCACGACAGCTTATTGTAGAATACTACCTACACTGGACCACCACGTTTGAAATATCTTTTTCAGGTAGTTCAGACACAAACCACGGCAGCTTATTGTAGAATACTACCTACACTAGACCACTACGTTTGAGATATCTTTTTCAGGTAGTTCAGACACAAACTACGACAGCTTATTGTAGAAATTACTACCTACACTGGACCACCACGTTTGTATCTTTTTCAGGTAGTTCAGACACAAACCACGACAGCTTATTGTAGAATACTACCTACACTGGACCACCACGTTTGAGATATCTTTTTCAGGTAGTTCAGACACAAACTACGACAGCTTATTATAGAATACTACCTACACTGGACCACCACGTTTGAGATATCATTTTCTTCAGGTAGTTCAAACACAAACCACGACAGCTTATTGTAGAATACTACCTACACTGGACCACCACGTTTGAGATATCTTTTTTAATTTTAGGTAGTTCAGACACAAACCACGACAGCTTACAATGATATTTGTTAATGGACGAACCTTAAAATCGCGAGTTCTTCATTTATTTCTTTGAGTACACCATTTTCCATTTTCTTAATTTCATCCAAGACATTTTGACAGGAATCTTCAGAAACCTCGCAATTACTGGCAGCAATGATAATCTCTGCACCAAGAGACTGAAAACAGAAAGAACAATACTGTTTATTTACGTTTGTTTTTGTACACTTGATACAACAGGGCTGTTCATGCAATACATACTGCTCCGAACTATAATTGTATAATACCGGTACCTTCGACTGGATGATTTGAACCCACTGTGGCAGAAGTCCAGCATCTCTTGGATTTCGAACATTGAAAACTAACACAAACAATGCAGTTTCGGGTACGCACAGTTGTTGAATGGTCCATAAAGGCTGCAAGAAATCATGAAACCAATGGGACACTCGTTAGAATACTTTGCGTTAGACGGAGTAAGATAATAAAGTAGGGCGCATTGCCACTTAAAAACAGGGTTGAACATTTCTGCATATATTACCTCATGTCCACAGATATCCCAAACAGACACACTTGCATCCAGATCATTCTCCGATAGATTTTCGTTAAAATATTCACAACATTCATCTGCAACTGCAAATATGAAGACAATCGGTTGGTCTGTTAGGCAGCCAGGTTAGCTATCAAGATCAGACCACCGAGCTCTATACATACTCTGGAGCATCAGTCATTCAGCCTACCGTAAACCTCAAAATATAAGCCCTGTGCTTATATGCTTTCGTAAGCGATTTTTCATGGGTTTATATATGGGGGGCTTATACAATTGGGCAATCTTTTGTGTTAGTAATAAACAAGTCAGTCATAAATGGGAAAATAAACATGTATTAATATAGCCTGCAAACAGGCTCTCAAGCTGAATTGAGAGCCTGCATCGATGACGAATGAATTTGAATATCTGTCCCATAACGTTTGTTTTTCCAAATATGGAATGTCTATCCTTATATGGTGTTGTTTACAACTTTCGTGCAAACTAAATTTAGACCGTGCAAACTAAATTTAGACCGTACAGTTTATACTGTTTTTCGAAGCAGGCTCTCAACTCAGCTTGAGAGCCTGTTCGCAGGCTAGTATTAATAATGTGCTTTGATTAACATAGTAAGCTATAAAGACAATAACAATATTTTTAAATATCGAAGGGCTTATATTTGAGGGAGGGGCTTATATTTGGAATGAGGTGAGCGTTAGTGCATGTGGTGGGCTTATACATGGGGGGAGGGGGGTTTATGTTCTGAGGTTTACGACAGGGATGGATTTACTGGGGGGGGGTGCGGGAGTGCACCCCCTAGCCCTGGCCAGAGGGGGTGCACCCCCTAGCCCTGGCCAGAGGGGGTGCAGGGGGGTGCTAATTTTCACAATAAAGCAAAAAATTATTAGAGACAAAATGAGATACAGTAATTTGAGTAATAACATGATGATAAGCGAACTGTGAACAACAATTACAATTCAAATACAGTAGTCAAGCACGACTTTGCAGTAGTGAAGCAAGTTGATGGGCGGGCGGCACACATGACCGACACAACTTGGCCCCTACCAGATCATGGTAGATCCATCCCTGGTTTACAATATGAGAAATGTGAAGCCAAGATTGCGAAAATTGATGTCCAATACAGCTATGAAGGTCATAAACAGTTTTAATTAATACCATGTTGACAAAGGTGCATATGGCTCAGTGCTCACTCGGCTACATTAATTAATACGTTTCTTATCATTGATTGCTCATGTAAAATTGACTATAAAATTATATCAATAACAATAATATTTAATATTTATATTGCGCAAATTAAATGTTATGGTATATGATCAAATGTGCAAATAGGAAATTACACTACATCAATAGGAAATTACACTTGCACATGTTTGGCAAACTATTTATAATACCGGTTGTGTTACGCACTCGCAATATTATAAATATTTTGCCAAACATGAACGCAATTTTTCATTAATATTTCTCGAACAGTGTAATTTCCTACACAAATCTATGTCTAATTACAAACTTGCCAGACCAACATTGTCGACCATGCAGAATTTGGACTCGACTTCTCACTCCAGATGATATACCGTATATAGAGCTCACTGGAATAAACTAATCCCCAGTGGCGGAAATTCACTTTTTCCGGTGGGGGGGGGGGGTGAAGCCTTCTAAACTTCCGACAAAACTTTCAAATTTTTACTCGAAAAGGCTGTTTTTAGGCCTCCCATTTGCACTCGAAAAGGCTGTTTTTAGCCCTCTTATAGGTCAAAATTTCTGAAAATTCATCATTTTCCACAAAGGTGGTGGGGCGGCCCCCCCCCCCCGAGATTTCCGCCACTGCTAATCCCAATGGATATCCTATGGTATCTCATGCATAATTGCAAGCCCTGTACAAATCAATCAACCAGAAACCAGAGAGTGAAGCTTACCAGGACTTTCATTACTAAACGGCCTCCAATCTTCGACCAATACCGAACAACTCAGACCATCAATGACTTGCGGGTTTGGAGATTTCAAGCATTGATACAGACTGCTCTTTCCGCTTCCTTTGCTGCCGACAAATACAACATGGCCGTGATTGATCCGCAGTGCTTTATCAGTACCCATGACGTCGCAACACAAAACAATAGACGTGTAACTAGTTAGATTCACGTCCGTGTGAATTCGTCACAAGCACGAAAACGCTAGATTAGGTTGAATACAGTCCAGGCGAACTACATGATTCAATGTATTGTGCAATAGGACACCAAGTTTCCGCAAAGATATAGGTTTTCTACAGAAATCATGTACAGTTAGCCATTTCCATTGATGTTTAAACTATGTTTGTGCCACCAGCTAGATTTCACAGTTCTTCATTACAAAACCAATACATTCATTTGTAGTCGTATTGCGATCTTCCTAAATTGGATTAAACCTAAATAAATTATTATTGAAATAGGCATTAGACAGAGTGAAATAATATAGTAGGGTATACCAGGGCCCACTGTCACCAGTCAGAATTTATCCGGCTAACAAGTTGGGCCTCGTTATAGTAGGGCATACCAGGGCACACTGTCAGAATATATCTGGCTAACAAGTTCGGCCGTCGTTTTTTTTTTGCAAGACAAATTACGGTAAAACAGTCAAGACCAAGTCAAACATGGCCAACGTTGACGTCCCGACAATGCTGGATAAACATTTTGGTCAAAAGTCAAACAGGTCTGTGATATCAGATAACATTGCCCAAAAAGGCAAAAACAGACTTTCGAACAATGTCGGTTGAAATTTTGAACAAAGTCAAATTTGATTTCATCTCCTAAAGTCAACAAACATACCAACATTGTTGCAATGAACAAAGAGGAATGTTTCGACCAACATGTTGCCCTTTTATATATATAACTTACAGCATCAAATCTTTATTCCACTCAAAAAAAGTGTAAAACATTTGTATAGCTATATATTACCAAAACACTCGCAAAATTAAGGATTGTCGTTTAAGTTTATGTACAGGCCAACACTTGCCCTTGTAACCGCTACAAAAAGTGCACAAGCTATCGTATTTACAAACAAGAATGACCTAAAACGCTTTCCAAAAACTTAAATGGCCAAAATGTAACAAAAACTGGCTGTATTTCGATCATATATACTTCAAATTTAAGACAAGTTATGAATGTTTTAACGCGAATATTGCAATCCTATCATGTCGTCGCTAATCTACAAGTAAAACAACGCCGACATTATAACAATATCCATTAATCCCTTCACAGCAAACAGCAAAATACTACAACAGAAAGCGATCAATTTCCTACCTTCGGTATCAATTTTGTGTTGTTGAAAGTGTGTTTCGCTGCGGCTTATTTCGCTGCGTGCAACAATTTTCTCGCCTTCAACTCATCACTAATTAATGATAAAAGTCCCTAACAACAACTGTATACGAAAAAACTTTGTTGCTAGTCACTTGAAGAGAACACAATAGAAATTTTTATAAAGCTTTTTTACAAATTAGCATTTCTTCCATTTGAGCAGCTGCTTCGCGTCTGGCCGACTTCGCCGCTAGCCGGAGAGATTCTAAACAAATCGGACGAGCTTCGTGAAACAATCGGAGAATCGAGACCGCTCCAATTTTCTCAGAAAGTGAGAACCGTGCATGTCGTACACTGAAATTCTGAGAACCACAAAGGACGTGTATTTCAAGACCACTACCTACACTGAGAACCAACAGTTTGAAGTTTAGACTAGTGAGAATCTACCACAAAGGACGTGTATTTCAAGACCACTACCTACACTGAGAAACAACAGTTTGAAGTTTAGACTAGTGAGAATCTACCACAAAGGACGTGTAATTCAAGACCACTACCTACACTAAGAAACAATTGTTTGAAGTTTAGACCAGTGAGAATCTACCACAACGGACGTGTATTTCAAGACCACTACCTATACTGAGAACCACTGGCAACAGTGTGAAGTTTAGACTAGTGAATATCTACCACAAAGGACGTGTATTTCGAAACCAGTACCTACACTGAGAACCAACAGTTTGAAGTTTAGACTAGTGAGTATGTACCACAAAGGACGTGTATTTCAAGACCACTACCTACACTGAGAAACAACAGTGTGAAGTTTAGACTAGTGATATCTACCACAAAGGACGTGTATTTCAAGACCACTACCTACACTGAGAAACAACAGTTTGAAGTTTAGACTAGTGAGAATCTACCACAAAGGACGTGTAATTCAAGACCACTACCTACACTGAGAAACAATTGTTTGAAGTTTAGACTAGTGATAATCTACCACAACGGACGTGTATTTCAAGACCACTACCTATACTGAGAACCACTGGCAACAGTGTGAAGTTTAGACTAGTGAATATCTACCACAAAGGACGTGTATTTCGAAACCAGTACCTACACTGAGAACCAACAGTTTGAAGTTTAGACTAGTGAGTATGTACCACAAAGGACGTGTATTTCAAGACCACTACCTAGTCTACCTACACTGAGAACCACTGGCAACAGTGTGAAGTTTAGACTAGTGAGTATCTACCACAAAGGACGTGTATTTCAAGACCACTACCTACACTGAGAAACAACAGTTTGAAGTTTAGACTAGTGATAATCTACCACAAAGGACGTGTATTTCAAGACCACTACCTACACTGAGAAACAACAGTTTGAAGTTTAGACTAGTGATAATCTACCACAAAGGACGTGTATTTCAAGACCACTACCTACACTGAGAAACAACAGTTGAAGTTTAGACTAGTGAGAATCTACCACAAAGGACGTGTATTTCAAGACCACTACCTACACTGAGAACCAACAGTTTGAAGTTTAGACTAGTGGGAATTTATAGACTTTATATGACACTCATTGACTTAAAAGAACTAAAAGATATATTTACAGGTCTATTTTGAAACATGAAACTGTATATGTTCATGATTATTCATCGAATTCTCCCAATCAGATTACAGCATTTGCATAAAAAGCACTGATCTGTAACAGATTGTCAGATTTCGCAATTGTTTTCCCAGAACAAACTGCAGTGCTTTCGTTTACAAAAGACGAGCTATAAAATATAAAGTGAGAATCATTCCTAGCGCATTTGCAATTTTATAACATGAGCACCGACGATTTATTGACAAAATTCGATGAAATGGTGAAACGCTTTAGAGAAGAGTTCAATGAAATTATCGAAGGGGAACGTGCCAAAATGAAGGCGGAAGTAGAAGCGTATAA